TCACTTTACTTCTGAGTGAAGTAAAATTGTATTTTTGGAATAGTTTATTCTATATGTTTGATATCAAGGTCAACTTGATGGTGTTCCCCTAAGTCTGCCTCAAGCTGATACCAATTAGTTTTATTTTTATGGAAGTAAGTTCTGGCAATACTTCCATAGTCTAGAGAACCCTGTGGGGTAATTCTATTGGCACACTGGAGGCCTCATGAGTCAAAATCAACTCAACAGCCCCTAACAACAACAGTTTTAGCTGAAAGTATTAATCAATATAAAAATTCAACTCGATTTGTACAAATACTAGGTTCAAATACATTTAACATTTGCAATTCATTCTAATTCCTCTCCATAAGGAGTTATGGATCAGGGGAGACCATTTGTGGGCCCAGGAGCTGTAACTGTGAGTAGAAATGTTCTCAGACAGATGATAACAAGAAGGGTGCTCAATTATAAACACCCTAACAAGTTCAGGACTGACTTGGCATTTGGACACTTCAGCCTAACTTTAATTTGGCATACACCAAGGGGAGGTATCTTTCATGTGCTAGCTTGTGCTGGTAACTAGGGAGACAGTGGGAAGGAGACATGGACTCTGTCCTCCAGCAGACCCAACGTGGAGCATTCGTAGGAGAGTTGGCTCCTTTCAGAGATGTTGCTCTAACAGCAGGTCTTGTAATTGGTTCCCCCTTTCCAACCCACCCTCCTCTACTCTCCCAGTATCGCCACTCACATCACTGATCCTGAAAGGATCATCCCTACATGTGACCTCCTCCCTGGGGGACGAACAACAGAGAAGTGGGTGAAGGGAGGCATCGGAGGGCAAGATATGACAAAATAATAATTTAGAAATTATCAAGGGTTCATAAGGGAGAGAGAGGTGGGGAGGGAGGGGAAAAATGAGGAGCTTATGCCAGGGGCTTAGGTGGAGAGCAAATGTTTTGAGAATGATGAGGGCAATGAATGTACAAATGTGCTTTACACAAGTAATGTATGTATGGATTGTGATGAGTTGTATGAGCCCCTAATAAAATGATTAAATAAATAAATAAATACATAAGAGACATGCCAGTCAATCACAATCCTAATTTAAATAAACTATAAATAAACAAAAAGTTAATAGTATAACTTTAGAAGTGAAAACTGCTTGAATAGTTGATGATTTTTGGAATAATTTTTATTATTTTAAGGGTGATAATGGTGTTGCAGTTTTGTTTATAAAAAGACAGTCCTCGCAGTGTAGAGGCATGTGATAAAACATTTACAAATAAAATAATACAATGTTAAAAAAAAGCAGGCCTTTGCTCATCTTGAGACTATACTATCCCCAAAGTTGTGGATCTTAACAGTAATTCTAATACTGTATGATTGCTTATTGTTAGCTATCCTCCAGTTGACTCCTTTTTCTGAACACATAATGAGCACCTTCTCTTGTTTGTTTGTATTTCAGGTCCAAACTGCTTTGCAGAAACTGCTGTCATCCCGGCTGGCAGGGAGGTGAAGACGGATGAGTGTACGATTTGTCACTGCACATATGAAGAAGGCACCTGGCGAATTGAAAGGCAGGCCATGTGCACGAGACATGAGTGCAAGCACATGTAGACCATTGACAACAAAAACACTGAAGCTTTTCTAAGATATTTTACTGAAGTGAACATTCTAGATGACCCTGGGAAGTACACACCAATAGGAGAAGACTTTTGAGGAGAAATAATGCGAAAATGTTGGTACTCTTGCTTTTCTTGGTTACAATTACTACAAGAAATGAACAGAATATATTTCAAAGCACCACCAAGAACATTGGGCATAAAACCCCTCTCTAAATAAATGTGCTATTTTCACAGTAAGTATACTAAAGAACACTATTATATATTAAATGTATTTCTATAATCCCTCCGTTAGAGAGCTTATATACATGTTTTCTATAGATACAGATTAAAAAAGCTGTGTTGTCAACCGTCCTCACTGTGTACAGCATATCTTTTTTTCAGTTCTGATTTCATCACATGGGAATGTTTGTGGTTGATTACATGCTCACAGAATCATGCACCCTTTAATGAGTCATTAGACAATAGACCTTTCTACTGAAATCCAGTCCAAATTTTATTTAATTAAAAACATACATCTAATTTTTATAATTAAAAGAATCAACCTAAAACACAAATATATAATTTATAAGTATATATTTTCCTATAATAGCATACTGCTTTAATGTCTTCATTCTCATTTATTTGGGAAATGTGAGCATAAAGGCAATTTTCTTTTTGTCAAATGTCTCACATTGGGAGCCACAGATAAATAATATATAACACTTACTTATACCGACTTTCTCTTGTAAGCATACCTTTATTCATTCTCTAAAATGAAGACTATAACATTTGGCTATGAAATTTGCATTACTATCCCCTGAGGGTGAAGCTGAAATAAAGTAGGGGAGAGTTACTCAAGTCTATGGAAGAGAGTGAAGAATACTAGAGTTCCTGAAGCAGGTTATACATGAAATTTAAATGTGGTACCCCCCAAAATAAAAACACCCAAACCAAACTCCCTGCCATAGAGGCATTGCTACCTTATAGCAACTCTATAGAGCAAGGTAGAACTGCCTCTGTGAGGTTCTGAGATTATTTATATGAGGAGGAGCCCATCTCTCTCCCATGGAGCGACTGGTAGTGTCAAACTGCAGACCTCTTGGAATGCAGCCCACTATGCCACCAGGATTCTTGAATGTGGTGCTAATATCCCCAAATCGCAGTTCCATGAGCTTTTGCTTCTCATAAGCGTGAATGAGTAAACATTCAGAAAGACATCCCATTTTAGTCCTCCAAGGGAACCATGAGGAAGCAGTTCCTCTGCTACCATGTCAAATATAAAAACAAAACAAACAGAAAGATGAAGGAAAATGTATTCTACATCTTGCCTGTAATTACACATAAATCTCATCCAATTTATTTTCTCTTCACTCAGATGTGAAATGAAAGAAGCTAATGTAAATGTCTGCGGATACAAGCATAGGATCGATATATATTACAGAATAGTTCCAGCTTTATTACCTCAACAGTTGGCACATGGGTGAGAGAGGGAGTAAACATTTCATAAATGTAAGGCAAAAAATAATTATAATAAATATTTGAAGACTTAATTTTTTCCTTTTCTTTTAATGCATTTATTTATTCCAAAAAGCAGAATTAATAACCTATTATATATAAAATGGGAGAAAGATTGGTCTTTCATTGCCTGTAAACAGTTACAGGTTTGGAAACTCACAGGGGCTGTTTCACTATGTCCTAGAGCAACCCTACGAGTTGGCATAGACCCAATGGCGATGAGTCATGTATAAAGTAGGGATTATTAAAGTTATAAGGTATGATGTTGTCACTTTTAGTCTCTGGTCGGACATAAATAAAAAATTAGAATGGCCTGTGTTAGGAGCTAGAGGTGAGCAAAGGGATCTATAGAGAGGGTTCTATAGAGATAGAGAAGAGAAACTAATAATCTAGTTTGATAGGGGAAGAAGGAAAAAAGATCTCTGAGAGCTCCCCAAAAATATCATTAAATTAACATCACTGAAAGTATAATGATATTCCAGAAAACCTATTTTTCCCATGCATTGAAGAGCAGAGGCATTGTAGACTTAAATGTAACCTCACTGCTGACTAAATTCTTAAGAAATTTGTGTTCATAGTTTTTCATTCTATCGTGTTCAAAAGAACTTCTTGGGGAAATGGGCTACATTCACATTAACAGTCATAAAATACTCAGGGGAAATAGTATATAATTGTTCTCAGGTGTGATAAACTTTCCATAATTAAATTTTAGAATGAAAGACTATTGGACATAGACATTATCCAAGTGTAGATTTCCACGAGAAAAAAAAAGTTCTATGAAGATATAAATTGGTCAACACATGGCCCTCAAGCCCAAAGGTGGGAGAGCCATCAGTTACACTAACAGCATCTCACTGCAGACAGATTGCCTCTTCTCTCCCTACTGGACATGAGCGCAATTAGAGAGATTCAGTTAATGAGGGCCAATCCTTTTCCTACCCTTGATGACATGAGCTCTTACAATAATCACAATGGTATCTTACTGTGTACATTTCAAGTATTCTCATATTGTTATTAGCTGCCATTGTGCCAGCTCCATGTACAATGGATTGAAAAGGTGCTCAGTCTCATAACACTTACACAACCGCTTGGTTACCTGATCATTGGGATGCATAGGGTTTCCTTTGGCTGATTTGCATAAGTAGCCTGATTTCATCCTAGTCTGGAAAGCAGCAGTGATTTTCACCTTATAAGCACAACACCACACTTCTAGTCACAAAGGCTTTCTAGTTGCTCTACTGAGCTTGGAAACTAAGACGGACTAAAAGGAAAGACATAGTGGGCTACCTCCAAAATCCACTAATGAAATCCTACAGATAATCATGGTCCATCTGCAAACAGTTATAGGGATGACACAGGACCAAGCAGCATATTTTTGTCCATGGGGTCACCAAGATATGGTGCACACTCAGTAGTAATCAATAACACTATGTTTGAAAGGTCTTCAAAAAGGTCGTGGATATGCATATTGTGAAAAACTATGGATGGATATAAAAAATATGTTTATACCAAAATGAACACATTAATCTATTATGTCCGTACAAGATCTAGTTTGAGGCTCAATCTTTAAGACATAAGTTTGGGAAAACAACAGCAACATGGAATCAACATGAATTCTGCTAAATTGAAATAGGATCAAATATCAAACCTATGGGGAAGCTTGGGTGAGAGGGTGGTGAAATCATTGATGCTTTACATAAAGTTTATCGGACTTATGCCCAAGTAAAGCAGCAGTGTACAAATGGATAACTCATTTTAAGAAGGGTCAGACAATTCCAAAGATGAACTGTTCAGTGGCAGATAATCCTCAATAATGTTCGAGGAAACAATTTTGTTTGTGCCTTAAATGTAGAAGACTGACCCTCAAAAGAGGAAACATTAGACAAAACTGTAGACATCTCAATTCTGACTGAAAAAATAAAGTTGAGCAAAATTCTCCACTTGATGAGTGCTAAAACTACCGCCCCTAGAGTAGCTACAGACAAGAACAGAGTTTCCGTGGAAATATTAAGCAAATGGGATCAAGAACATGGAACATTTCTTGGGACAATTTTAATTAGAGCTAAAACACGGTTTTGTCAGTATGATCCTGAAGACAAAGCACAACCAAAGTAGTGGCTACTAAAAGGGAAAAACGGTCCAGTCAAAGGAAAAGTTAACCAATCGAGAACAAAGGTCATGACAGCAGTACCTTGGAATTTTCAAGAATTTTGCTTGTTGAGTTTCGGGATAGCCAAATAACGATAACTTGTGCTTGTTATGCGAATATTTTGAGAAACTCAAAGCTTTAGCAACAACAAACAAACAAAAGCCTAAACAACTTCACGAGAGAGTCCTTCTACACCAAGACAATGCTCCTGCCCCTTCCTCTTATCAAACTGGGGCAATTGGCTTCATTTGTGTACTTCCCGGCCTTAAAAAACCAGTGCCACCAGGTCTATTCTGACTTGTAGTGATTGATATTTGGTTGTACATAGTGAGCTCGTATGCTATACCTCTGAGACACTGACTGGCATTTACTTGGTCTCAAATAATGTGAGCTATACCTATATCTAATACACTTCCTAAAAGCTGGGTATCATGTCCATTGTTAGACTGAACTAACTCTTCTCCACTCTCTGATCCAACCACAATAATTCCTTTCCCCATATAGAAACAATACATAAACCATATCCTGGACATAACTTGGATCAGTAACACTTAAGTTTCTCTTTTTTTCACTTAAATTTCTTAATGTGTAATGAGATGACGTATTTTTTGTCCAAGGGAAACTTATACTATTCTCAGGTTCTTCTTTTTTTTAAATGTAAGTCATAATTTCATATATATATCTACCACATGGTGGAATTTATTTTCCTCTTGTGACATCCCAAAGTATTTAATGGCTGAGTCTAAGAAATCTAATTCTAAAAATGCTATGACATGAACATGGCACAGAACAGATGAAATACATATGAAAATACAGTTTTTGAAAAACATAATTCTTAAAATTCAAGGTCTTCCCAATAAGTGCCTAATAATTCTTATTATATATGTTTTAAGTCTAAAAATGAAAATGTGTTGATAATATATTATATTAATTCATCATAAATGATTCAACCATTTTAAGACCTGAAAATATAAAGCTACTTATGGAAACAATGATAAGGCTCAATAACTTATCAAACCTGATGTATTAGAAGATTTTCAAGTTAGATTCATCCTTTCAGTCAGCATATCTTTCCATGTTAGGTGGATTAATCAGTGTTTTTATTTACAATTCACAGAAGTCTTGAGCAAAGTGATTTCGAAAAGCATATTCTATTCATGCCATAAACACTAACTGTTCCTACCAAGGTCCTATGACTGGTATAAAGGATGAATCCAGATTCACCGTGTGGACACTTTGCCTTCAAGATGTCTAGACCTTGAAACAAATTTACACTTGATTATTTTACTTTTGATATTTGTATATATTAGTTAATAGTAATATTTACTTTTAATATTAGTATATTCAATTTAATAATCTCTTGTGCAGTAAAATATTAAATAGGAGAGGTAGTCTGATTTTTTAATTTGCAGAATCATGAATACAATTAAATTCTAGATCATCTCAAAATAAATACCTTAGGTATATAATTTTGACAAAAGGTCCAAAATTATCAGAGAATTCTGATGCCTTCTATTTTTTTCTTCTTATTTTGTATTTAGTCAGTGAAATAGAATTTTAATGTATACATTATTTCAAACATGCATAATACAGTTTCAAGCAATCATTTAAAACCTCACCGACACTGACTACTTAAGCATATAGAAACAAGATCATAGACATCATAAAGATTTTTTAAATAGTCACAATTTGTTACATTTGTTTCAAT